GACGAACATAAATCAAGCAAGGGTGACAAAGCTAAATCTGATGAAAGCAAAGAGAGTAAGCATAAAACTGATGAAAGCAAAGAAAGCAGACATAAAAATGATGAAAGCAGACATAAATCTGATGATGCAAAAGCAAAGAAACACACAAAAGACGACAAGAAACCAAACCAAAGTACATCACACTCAAATGATGGTGAAACTAAAAAATCTAAAATTGAAAATAGTAAGAGAAAGTTTGCAGAGTTTATTGATGGTGATACCAGTGATCATGGCAGTAAGAAAAAGAAGGTTGAAGAACAGGAGAAAGAGAGCAAGCATAAATATGATGGGAATTCTTCTGTTATGGATGAAAGTATGGAGGCTAGTAGGAAACGGACAATGAATAAGAGTTTGAATGAATCAGGTAAAGTTGGTTTGAGTAGACCTATATTGCCTACTGAGAGCTTAGTATGAGTTTGTTTTTACCGTCTTCAAAAAAGGTATATGTATGTTCACCGATTACACCATCTATATCAAAACGATATAACTTAATAATCACAAAATTGTTAACAGATTAATATTTGGTATCTATAAAGGTTTTAATTAATAATTTTGTTCGGAACTTAGGCTATCTTATCTATCTTCTAACGGTCTATCAGTGGGTGGGTAACCTATCAGTACTAATAATAGTTACTTTTTACTTTTTAGTTGTAACCTTTTTGTTTTTGGGTTATTTAAATGCAGTTTTTATTTTTTTATATGTTAATGTAATCGAAGTGAAACCGCATTGGTGGCTCTGATTGGTTGGTTCATTGGAGCCGGCCAATCAGAGGGCCGAACGCGGTCTTGTCACGATTACTTTAAACGAAAACAAACTCGTACAAGCCCTCTGCTGTTACATTATTTTTAAGTAATTAATTTTTCATCAAAAATTAATAACCTCCCTGCTCCCGCCTGTATCTATTGTAGTTCAAACTTTAAACTGATGAAATCGTGCTTTGAAAGATTAACCATGAAGTACTTCATTAATTACTATGTTTTCGGCTTACTCACGTAACTGACGACTAGTAGCTGGTCGCGGGTCGTGGAATGCTGCTCATGAATATAAGCCTCTAGCATGGCTTGAAACTAGTCGAATTCCTCGTCAAATAGTTACGTGAGTAAGCCGAAAACATAATAATTAATTTAGTATGTCTCACGAAAATTATAATATAGAAATACTTCATGGTTAATCTTTTGCATAGTGAAATTTAATTCTTATTTAATCTAGTTTAAAATATGCAGATTCAGAGAAATATAGATGTAATAATTTACAAACTCTTACCTCTCTTTTTTGTGCCTTTAGGCTTAATTCATTCTGTCTCCTGCAGTAATTCACCGAGGGAAGTGGAAACTATCGTCTTTTTTTTCTTCTCTTATAATATCTTCTGATTCACTTCGTTGCGGGAACCAAGACAGTTATTCATGTCCCTGGGACGAGCCGGACCTCAGTGTTCCGGTGTTTTCATGGTTGTATCTACTGTAGATCCTGGCTTACAGGAGTTGCAGCGATTTTGGGAGGTGGTGGCGGGCTTGTCCCTAAAAAAACTGTACCTCTATTTAGCCTTAGAATTTTTTTATTTTTTGAATTTACTTATTTATTTTTTTGTATTTTCAGCCCTAACAGATGAAGAAAGACACGAAAGGCGAATGCATTCAGCTGCTTTATACAAAAATTATTTGAACAGATCTGGACCAAAGCATTTAGGAGCTAAAGAAATCCCTGAGGTAACCATGTCATTGAAATAAACTGTTCATTAAAGTCCTTGTGTACTAAA